GCTGCGGTTAAGGACACTGCAGGCGCATCTGATGGGTGAGTGCTAGCAGGTGCTGTTCCCTGCTGCTGCTGCTGCTGCTGTTCCTGCTTGTCCGTCGCTTCTCGTTTTGCTGCACGATCTACTGGGACGTTTTGCACTTTCTTTCTCGCACGTCGGTCAGACTGTTGCTGCTGCTGCTGCTGCTGCGGGGCTCCTGCAGCACCAGGTGCTGCTGCTGCTGCTGCAAAGCTCGAGGGCTGCGCGCTTGTCTCTGCTGCATCCCCTGCCGCTGCAGCCATCGGTGGGGGGCCCTCCGCAAGGGAGCCCCTGGCGTCTCCAGGGGCAGCAGCAACTGTAGCAGGGCCTGCCATCTCGGAGACGGGGCGAGACAAGGCTCTTCCCCCGGGCTGCTGCTGCTGCTGCTGCTGCATCCTGAAGTGCTGCTGCTGCTGCAGCCCCGGGTCCGCCCTCGGGTGTTGCTGCTGCCGGGCGTCCGCAGGCACAGCAGGCGTCCCTGCAACGTGCAGCGGGGGAGGGGCTCCCCCTGCCAAGGGCCCCGGCTGCTGCTGCTGCTGCTGCTGCATCACATGCAGCAGCGGCGGCGGCACTGAAGCAGGCATTACCAGGGGGACCTCCCCGCAGTGGGGCAGCGGCAGACCTGCGCCGCAGGGCAGCAAGTTGCTGCCGACGATGCCGTAGACGGGGATGGCTGCTGCTCCTGCTGCTGCTGCTGCAGCTGCTGCAGCGGCTGCTGCTGCTTGGTTCGGGTGCAGCGGAGCCCCGGCGCCCGGCCGCGCAGCAGACCCAAACGCCTGCATCTGCTGCGGACCACCTGCTGCTGCTGCGGCCAGATGCGGCAGCTGCTGGGGGCCCCTCAGGTCACCCCCTGGCAGCAGAAAGTGATATCCTGGCTGCTGTATGCCTAGGGGCAGCAGCGCCTGAGGCGGGAGGGCCCCCAGCATCTGGGGGGGCTGCAGCAGGCCGCCCTGGAGCAGCTCTTGCTGCTGCTGCCGGTGGCCCGCTGCAGCAGCACTCTCCATCATGTGCGGATGTTGCTGCGGCTGCTGCTGCTGCAGTCCCGCAGCAGCGCTCTCCGTCCCGCCCAAGGGATGCTGCGGCTGCTGCTGCGGCAGCTCACAAGCAGCAGAGCCATGAGGCTG